CTGGACACTGCGGCACCTCCCAGAATGCTTTGTGGCTCCAGCCACATGTCTCGCTGGACGCCTTGGCGTCTCATGATCCTAAGCAGAACTACTGCTTGCCCCTTGTCCATAATAGATGTGCTCTGGAATACCTGTAATGCATGCAGACGGTCTGGATGAGGAGTAATCCCTGTACGTTGTGGTCCACTACTTTTCATCTAGGTGATGCTTGTATGTCAGTCAGTTATAGCCAGGGGACAGCATTCCCTGCAGGAATGGTTTTCAAGAACACTGAGGGCCACTCCGTCCCCCTCTCTCGTTCTATCGCTGCCTGAACTTTGGCCACAGGAAGTTATTTGTAAGGCTGGGGGTGGTGAAGGGGTGGGTGTCTGAATTTTGAGGCAGGTTAAGCCTTTACCAACAGAGAGAAAGTGGGCAGGGGATTAAGTGAGGAATTATCAGTGAGAGCACCATGTGTGGGTCCCATCATGTACCAAACAGCTACGACATTCAGCTGGGTGCGGGGGGTGGGTTGTCCACGGGCCACTCCAGTTTATGTGGCCCACTGGCATCCTAGTGGTTAAGTAACCAGACCAAGCTGCAGGACAATACCTGCTGACCCCCACCCCCCTTCCGTGTCCTTGTACTTTTTTCAAACTTTTGTTCTCATATTGTGTAACTGCTAGTGCCTGGCTGCTACACGCATTGTTCCCTTGTTTCTGAGTGTTGTAGCAGGCTTGTTCCTTCTTCTGGAGGAGTAGGATGGGCCTGTTTTGGAATAATCCCCCCCCCCCCTCCCCATGCCCCTCTAGCTCTGCTGCTGTGATTTTTCCCAGTCTTGACCACACACACACTCGAGCAGAGAGCAGTCTCAAAGTCCAGATAAGGTTACCGCTTGGTCATTATTTGTCTGACTTCGCTTCCCAGGGGCTTCAAAGGGCTTCATGCTTTAATTGCCTTTGATTGGGTGACTTCCCCATGACTGGGACTTGACTTGAGTGAAAGCTGAACACAGTTCCTATAAGTAGCATATGTTTTTTTCTGTTGTGCTGTGCAGCTCCTGCAAGCAAAAATGCTTTATAAAAAGCCAGCAGTGACCTTATTTCATAGACCAGTCAGCTTGGGCTTTGGGGATGATTAAAAGTATCAGTAAAAAGTACTAAAATTGATGCTGTGATTTTTAGTATCATGTCTGGTTTGGATTTTAAGAAACTCAATCAGATCAGGAAATCCTTTTTTTGTGATTGAGGGTGCTGATTTGTTAGTGGGAAAACCCAGCTTTGCAACCAGGTTAAGGGCGGGGGACCAGCACTGAGTGTTTGTTAGCTCATTATTTGTTTGTATGTTCCCTTGGCTGCTTGGGTCTTCTGCTGCTGCCGTCGCTCTCGATTCCCCCACCAGCCAGCGCCTTACCCTGTAAATCAGCTTCTCCTAACGGCGCTCCTCTACTCGACCTTGTTTTGCGGAGCTGCGCTATTGCAGCATTCAGTGTCCGGGGCATGCTTCCTGTTTCTATTCTGGTCCCGAGGCTCATGAGCCACTGCTTCCTGAGCGAACGTCTCATTCAGGTTCCAGGGCCCGCCCGCCTGCCACTTTCCATCCCAGCCTTCAGTGTCTCTTGCTCTCCCGTCTCTCCGAATGGGGCTTTTTAAGTCTAAAAATGGCACTGAGTCCTGTTTGGAAAGTGAGAGCTTCGTCAGAGGCTGCTTTTTAGAGGGCGAGGATGTTTTGAGTTGAAGCCCCATTTCCATTTGGGGCTCCATAAAGATTTCTCCACACCCCCTCCCCCCCCCTCCCTTTTTGCTCTGCCGAGCTGGTTGCGCTGCACAAAGGCAGCAGCTGACTGCAGCATGAGGAGGCTCTATCTCGCCTGCCTCGCCCTGCCTCTTGCTGTGGAAATGGCCTTCCTCACTCTCCCACCTACCTCTAGCTGTGGAAATGGCCCTTCTTGGCTGTCCATCTGACTGCCTGTTTCTCGCTGTGGAAATGGACCTCTTCACCCACCGGCTAGCCTCTCGCCATGGAAACTGCCCTCTTTCCTCGCCTGCCTCACTTCATCATTCCTTGATAGATTTGAAGTGAAGTCTGCAATTGATTTTTTAATTTGCACGAAAGCTTCCTTTCTGTGTTCTTCATTAACATTTTCGTTACGTGTTAGTTGCCCCCCCCCCACCCTTTTTACTGGCTCTCTCCATGGCAGATGTCCAGGCTCTCCGGGTTCCCTCATAAATTTCTGCTTGTCCGGGGCTCGGAAGCGGACATACGCACGCACACGCCTACCCCTGGGGAGGCTGTGTGAGGCACTGGGGCATCTGTGCCAATCTTGGGGATCCCCCGCCCCCTCGGACGGCCCTTTGTAAGCCGTACAAAGGCCTGACAGCCCCTCCCCCCACCCCTTATCTCTGACAATAGGCCCCCTGCAGCCCCTGGTCTGTCCCCCGCTTGCCATCTGAGGGGGCGCTCTGGCACGCCCGTCTATACTGGCCGTTGCCTGCCGGGCCTCCATCGATTTCCACGCTCTCCGTAGACGTATCAATCATCCAATTAGGCCTAACGAGGGGTCCCTCCTGGCTCTTTGACAATTTTTTTTTTTAAATTTTTTACATTTCTCTCTGATTTTAAGATTCCTTTAATGGTATGCCTAATCTCACAGCTGCATGTGCTGTGATTGGTTTCCTCTTCCACCCCTAACGAGCCTGTCCCAGGGCCTCGGTCTGTGTGGTCGTCTGGCTGATTTAAGCTGGAGCGGCGAGTAGTTATGGAGCTCAGGCTCGGCTCAGACCCACTAAAGCCACTGGGGGCAGTCTTATCCCTGCCTCCACACCCATCATCTAATCACTAGTCATCCTGGAGGTTCTCTGTGATAGGATTGGTGGTGATTGACAAGGACCATATAGCTGCCACACAGAGTAGATGTTGACGCTGTGCAGCAGAGGACCGTGTGGCCTGCCAGGCGGCCCTTTGCACACGCACCGACTGCACTCTGCGCCTGCAAGGGCTCCTCCCCACTAGCTGCAGTGCCAGTGCTCTGCTACATGGGCTTGCCCCTCTGCTGGAGCCTGTGGTGGAACGGGAGCGCCCTCTGATGGTCAGGATGGGCCCTGCAGGACCAGCGGATGCCTTGGCAGTTGTAGCAGACCTGAGGGGTGCGAGTCATGCACACGACTCAGGTCGATGTTGGTATCTACAGTCCGGCGCTCCAGCTCAGGATGCCTGCGGAGACATGCTGGGGGGTGGGGGGGGCAGCTGCTCTGGCAGACGCCTGTTTCCGGGGAGACCACCTTCCCATGCGGCACTCTGAGAGACAGCTGCCTCCAGGATGCTCTGCGCCCCCCCCACACGCGGCCATGCCATCCAGGGTATAAACGGGCACTGGGCCAGCAATATAAGTTCCTCAGAGGCACTGAAAGCACACCGTGGCAGGGGTGGCGGCTGCTGCAGGCCAGGTAGGCCTTGACATGGGTCTGTGTTGGGGAGTGGCGTTAATGTATATGTGTATGATGTAGTCCTTTAAAAAGCACCTCTGGCTTCTCCCCTTCTGTAGGCCTCATCCTGTCATTTTGGGGGCAGGGGAGCCCCAGATGGGACTCGGAGACTGAAATGTTTTGTGGAAACTCTTAAGCTTCTGCTGTTCTGCGCAAAATAATGCCTCATGTAGCGTCTGAATGCTGTTTGTAAAATTGGACCAATTTCCTTCACGACAGTGGGTCTCTACAGAGACACGGGACGTTTGTCATTTTGTGTTGGGGGGGGGGGAGGGATGTGCATGTCTGTGTGGCCCAGGTATTCCTTATATTTTATGTGACGCCCTCAGATGGAGTGAAGCAGGTCGAGGCCCTGGGGGGCCCTGTTCAGCTGGCATGTGCGTCTGCTTAATGGCCCACCCAGCCCCACCCCCCCACCATGGCAGCCGAGGATGCATTCATCAGGCTGCCCCTGCTTTGCACAGAGCAAGCGTGGTGGCCTCTGAGTATCTATGTGTATGTCTGTGAGTCTGCCTGTGTCCAGCCAGGCCAGTTAAGGTGTTCAGTGGCGGTGGGGGGGTTGGGGCGGAGGGCAGACGAGTGGGGTCACCCCCATGCAGAGATGCCGCGGATCTGCCCCTCCCGAGGCTATCCCCTTTCACCACTGGTTCCCTTCTGCTTTTCCAAGGTTGAAGTCCTCTCATACGACATTGATGCGGTGAAGTGGTGATTCAGCATTCTGTGGTGGGGGATGGGGGGCTGACTTTTTTTTTTTTCTCCCTCCTCCCCTCTATTCCTCTATTAGCTAAATGCATCTCGCAGTAATTTATTTTTAGGCTGCGCTGTGTCCCTGTGCCAAACTGAGAGCTCCCAGAATGAGCGGCTGAGAGTCAGGCTGCTGCCTGCGCAGTGAGGGAGTGAGCTGCTTACCCTGCGCTGATCTGCACGCACGTAGGAGCCCCTCGGAGGAACAGAGGGCCACTCTGACTGTGGAGATAGAAAGGGGCGTGGCATGGCTTCGTGTCACCTGATTGGCTCATCTACCACATCTGATTGGCTCCCTGATTGAAAGCAAGGTGGAAAGTGGCCAGTTTCTGTGCAGTGGCCCAGCTGGTGAAACTGTAATTAAATTTCTGGGATGCGCTTGGCAAGGCCAGTCAGCAGAAGCCAGAGCAACCCTGAGCTGTTTGGAAATCAGCGCCTAGCACTGGCCGAGCTGCTCAAGGCCTGACTGCAGCTGTGTCTGCGTGTTTTTGTCCACATGCGTCTGCCTTCCTACCCTCTCAGCAGCTCCTACCCAGTGAGCGGAGCTGGTTAAATTTTCTGTCATGCCCCTTGTCCTGGAAAAGGAGGAACTGCAGCTATTGGATTTGCAGAATCTGTTTTGGGAGGCCCTCCCTGCGTTTGGGGCCAGTAGTAGGGTGGGGGTGGGGGGGGGGATGGTGACGACAAACGAGGGTCTGTTGATACACTCAGTGGGGTCTGATGAGGACAAACATTAATGGGGAGTATTCGCTCAATAATGCCTCTAAAACTCAGATGGCAGAGGTGACAGATGGACAACAGGAGCTGCCCTGCCGGCACTGAAATGGTACGACCCCCACCACTACACTGTCACTAAAGCTGGGGGGGGGGTAAAGTGTCTGCTCTCGTACTATCAGTGTCAGTTTCAGTTTGCCTGCGGATGGGTGGGACTCACCGGCTCGAGTCGTACGCCACCTGATGAGTGTCAAAAGCTGCTGTGGTCTTTTCGGCTTTAAGGTAGAGATGCTGCTGCTGTTCTGCACACCCTGCTACCAATCCTGCGCCTGCATGCATGTGTGTGTAAGTGCTATGAACCATAGTCCCTTCATGCCTGTTCTTGTCAGCCCCGGCTATTGCCGGCTGTAGAGGCGCGTTGTGCAGCTAGCATGCTCATTCCGGAGGCACAGCCATTACTGCTTTGCCCCTCTGAAGTTCTGTTTATCAATCTTGTGGCACACTTTTATTCCAGTATGTCTGTGGTCCCTAAAATGCCTGCTGTCAAAGTCAAGCTTATGAGTGAGATTGCTGCGTTAAGCCTTTAAAAGACACTGGTTGGTTTGTTGGTTATTTGTGAGTCCCCTCCTCTGTCAAAATACTGTCCTTAATAATGGGCAGCAGGTTTAAATGGGTCAGCCATGTAAACAAAAATGTGCCGCTTCATGATGCACCCTGCCCCACCCTGCCCGTTTCCGCCACTCCGCCAGCCCTGTTCACCTTCACCATGGCATGACGGTCTTGGGACGTCTTGACTTGGGCCTGGGGTGGCTGTCTGCTGCCTGGTTAGACTGTAGCTGGTTCCTTATGACTGAAAGGCAAGGAGGCACACCGATGTGTTCAAGAAATGGGACCATATGCACCAGTTTTAAGAGTAGCTGCTCCGTACTGTGATCTGTGCTGAAATTAGACCATCATGTGCGCCGCAGTGCGACGAAGGCAGCGTGATTTTAGTAAGGAACCGCAATGGGGGTGAATGATCCGGGAGTACGGCAGGCTCTGCCTCCCTGGAAGCTGCTGATTTCCAGCCTGATGGGGCTACGGAAGCGGCCGTGTTACAGCTGGGGAATGTGAGGACTGCTTGCTGGATAGAAGGCCTGCTCATGGCCTGGTGGCCTGCGGCTCTTGGCGCCCTCTGGACGCAGCTAGATGTTGTTTCAGGCTGCGGGATATTGGAAGGCGCGCATAGCACACCTTAAAGAGGGAGCCCCACGCTGGAGTTTCCCTGCTGTGCCGGGGAAACCCCTCCCCTGTCCCCTGAGTGCCCCTTGGGTGTTGTTGTAGGTCGGCGAGGACCCCCCTCCCCCTCCCCCCCCCCCCCCCCCCCCGCTTGGGGCCCTGGCGGGCGGGCGCGTGCTGTGGCGGTGGCAGAGTCAGGCTGGCAGCAGGAGGGGGCCTGTCTGCGCTCCCGCCCTGATTGGCGGCCCTTCTTCCTGGCCCTTCCTCCCGGGGTTCCCGCGTCAGGTCACAGCCCAAAAATAGCAACAGGCTCTGTTTGGAGCGTGGGAAAAAGGGGGGGGGGGGGGGGGGGAGCGCGGCTTTGGGGCCGTGGCCAGCTGCCACATCGCAGCTTTCTGTGGGAAGCACTTGGCCCCCTTCCAGGTTTTTTTTCTCCTTTAAATGTATTTTTTCCCTCCAACACTCCTCTAGTCATGCTCTGCTCTGACTGGCACATGAGCTGCTCACTGGGGGGGGCGGGGGCGTACATGGTCTCAGACTATGCCCCCCCCCCCCCCCCATGCCCAACCCTGCTGGCAGGGCATGTGAGCTGCCGTCGGCCTGGCCTGAGGATGTAGCACTTCTCGCACGTTACTCGGCTAAGCTTCACACCCCATTCTGAAAAACCCATCTGAACTTTAAATGTTTAATTCCATATGTATTATACATATTACTGCTTTTATTGCTGTTTTGTCTCTGGAGTAATGGTAGATTTGGCTGTAATATTGTAATTTTATTATGGAGCATAATGGCACTCATATTCGTAGTGAACATAGAATATAAGCAGAGCCTAAATTTACAAGTAGATGCTCAACACAGAGAACATTATGCTAATTGTGGCGGTGAGATGATTATTGGAAATTCTGGTTACAGTCAGTCGTAATCGGCAATTTGGGAACATTTTGGTTTCCCAATAAAGTGCAACAGCACAGGGGAGAGAGTAGTTCATAAGATCAAGACTGTCGGCTCAGTTATACCAGACTTTGATGTGTTGCTGGAGACACATCCAACTTATTAATTCGAGACGATATCATCCGGTTGTGTGTACGACAGGAGCAAGGTGCTTCTGAACAGGCTGAACAGACAAACAAACAAGGCTAAAGGGGTGTTCATCCCTACACACATGCAGCCATACACGATAGCCGAGAACACAGGAGAACATTTTCTTCATTATGATTATTTTTAAAATTTGTTGTAATTCTGAGTGAGAAGCTTCACTGGATTCACTTGCTGCTCTGTCCTGCGGTGGACATTTAGAGGGGCTGCAGGCTTTGGTCACCAGGAAGGGGGGGGTATTTTTTTGGTGTTTTCTGTCCTGTCTGGTAGCAGGCCTGACTGCCCCCTCTCTTTTCAGGACCTTTCGGGCTCCATCGACGACCTGCCCACGGGCACGGAGGGCGCGCTCAGCCCTGGTGTCAGTACCTCAGGCGTGTCGAGCAGTCAAGGCGAGCAGAGCAACCCAGCCCAGTCACCCTTCTCCCCCCACACGTCCCCCCACCTGCCCGGGATCCGCGGACCCTCGCCGTCTCCCGTGGGCTCCCCTGCCAGCGTGTCGCAGCCTCGCTCGGGGCCTCTGTCCCCTGCTGCTGTCCCAGGTGGGTCTGCGAGATCGTCCTGAACATGGCCTTCGGAGCGCCGCTGCTGGACAGCTCCCCCACTACCTGGAGTAATAAACCAAGCAGAAACGGCACCTCTTGGAGACTGGGAACGGGCCCGCAGCTCCCCCTAACTCTGAGTGCTTCTGTCACCTAGGGAACCAGATGCCCCCGAGACCGCCGAGCGTCCAGTCGGATGGAATTCTGCACCCTTCCATGAGCCAATCGACCATGGGCCAGGACAGAGGTGAGAAACATCTCAGCTGGGCTCTTTGGTTGTGTTTGGGGGAGCTTTGGGTGACATGCTGCTAAATGCTCCCCCCCTCCATGCAGGTTTTATGCAGAGGAACCCCCAAATACCTCCTTACGGGTCGCCCCAGTCTGGCTCAGCCTTATCTCCTCGCCAGTCTTCAGGAGGCCAGATGCATCCTGCGATGGGGTCGTACCAGCAGAACTCCATGGGCAGCTATGGTCCTCAGGGCGGCCAGTATGGGCCTCAAGGTGATGTCCCATGCAGGCTGATGGCCAGAGCGAGCCCCTTATCAGTGGCAATCTGCAGGCAGCCAGCTAACTTGGCTCCTCCTCCTCACAGGTTACCCCCGGCAGCCGGGCTATGGTGGCATGCCCAACGCCAGCTACCCCGGCCCTGGCATGGGTGGCTCCATGAACCCCATGTCTGGCCAGGGAGGGGGGGCGCCCTATACAGGCATGCCCCCGGGACGCATGGGGCCCACACAGATGGGGCCCACGCAGATGGGGCCGGGGCAGATGGGGCCCGGACAGATGGGTGCACGTCCCTATGGGCCCAACATGGGGCCTAACATGGCCCCCAACATGGGGCCTGGCATGGGCACCATGTCACCTCAGGTGGGCTCTGGGATGTGCCCTCCCTCAGGCGGCCTCAACAGGAAGCCCCCGGAGTCAGCTGCTGTGGCCATGCAGCATCCATCCAGCAACTCCATCCACAACAGGTGAGCCCTTTGTTCCTACGTGTGACACACAACACCTGTGTGTTTACAGCCGTTTGAACATCAAAATACGAAACTCAGGGATGGCTGCTAGGGAGCCATCCCATGTACCTGCAAGCAGAAGGGCACGATTGCTGACTGGGGACCAGCCTTGTGCTCTAATCCCCAGTCTCAATGGGAGGATTTCAGGAATTGCCGTGCGCTAAGGGTCAAATGGGCTATTCTGTTTGGGGAAGTATCTCTATGGTCTGGGCCCTGGGACCCTCCATCTGAATCGGCCCATTTAAGCGTCTGGCTGTGTCGGGGCAGGGGGCTGCTGGGCATGGCTGCTTTATCGTGGAAAAAGCAGGAATCCATCTATAAGTTGCTCTCCTTCCCACCTTGCCCTCATGACAAGTCCCTGGAGCCGATCTAATGCACAGCACCTCCTTCCCACAGGCCTCCTGGCTACCCCAACATGTCACCGGGCATGATGGGTACAGGCTCCCCCTACGCCCCCCCTATGAACAGCATGGGAGGCATGATGAACCCGCAGGGAGCCCCCTATCCCATGGGCAGCAGTATGCCCAACAACTCTGTGGGTGAGTCCTGTCTGCGAAGCTGATGCCGCCTTTGCTTCACCCGCTGGTCCGTCAGCCAGTAGCTATGCCGAGCGCCTGCTGGACAGCCCGCGGGCCGGAGCGGAGCGCTGGTTACCGCTGCCGTTTTGCACATGGTATCGGAGTTTGCTAATCTACGGAAACTTCAGACAAGCCTATTTGATACAAATTCTAAAGAACAGGCAGATTTTTTTGGAAAGTGGCCTGAAGTGTTTGAGGCTTGACTGTCGGTGGCCCTGCCTGCAATATCGTTAAAAGTTTTATTGTGATATATTGGGGGGAGGGGGGGCATGAGCGACTTTCTATCTAATGGGTTCTGAGCAATTTTCCTCACCCCACAACAGGCATGGCTCCCAGCCCGGAGTTTGGCCTTGACGTGAAATTAAACCAGACCCAGAAGATGAACAACAAAGCAGACGGGACTTCAAAGCCGGAAACAAAATCCAAGGTAGTTACTGTAATACCTTCAACTCAGCGGGTCGCTAAGTTAACACTGTGTGTGGAGAGTGTTTCTTCCCAAGTGCCTTTAGTCCAGCGGGTCGTGAGCTTAATGTCGTGAGCAGTGCTTCTTGGGGCTGCAAATCCAGCCCCTCAGTTGTGCCTGAATTTCACTTCACTGCTGTTCTGCTCCATTCTCCACCTACACAGAAGTCCAGCTCCTCCACTACCACCAATGAAAAGATCACCAAGCTGTATGAGTTGGGCCCGGAACCCGAGCGGAAAGTGTGGGTGGACCGTTACCTGGCCTTCATCGAGGAGAAGGCCATGGGCATGAACAACCTGCCTGCCGTGGGCCGCAAACCGCTGGACCTCTTCCGTCTTTACGTGTCAGTCAAGGAGATCGGTGGCCTTACACAGGTAGGTCCCGGCTGTGAACACTGCGGTCGCAGTGGCACCTTGACAGGACCTAATACCTGCCTGAGTTTTAATGTGAATGTCTTGTCACTATCATTACATTATCGATTTCTCACACGACATATGAACATAACCTCCATTAACTTTCCTGACCTCGGCATTGTCACATTGTGTTTATATGAGTGCCGTTTAGCCAATCATACTCTTTCTTGCCCCCTTGTCTGCTTTCTGTTGCAAGCGTGACTCATGGCTGATTCATACTTGATGTGAAAGCGATTGCGCCGCGGCGCATGAGACTCAGTGTCGGACCGTCCGCGGTCCTGAATGTTCATACTTCCAGCTGCTCTCAGTCACGTTTATTAAGTGTGGTATGTATGTGCTATAAGAATAAGTAAGAATTTTACTAAAACTAACCATGCATTATATATATATAATATGCAAGACAGGGTTATAATCGTTAACAAAAAATGTTTCCATAAACTGAAATAAAATTTAACAACTAAATGACAAGTACAAATATTGGTTCCAAAACCAAATAAAAACCAAATGTCAAATACTTGTCAGATTCTCATCACGGTTTTCAAGTACTTTATAGCTAAAGTAATGATTCATCTTTCGGCCTGAAACAGTATAAACACAAACATTTTCAAAAAACGACGATAACAGTGATGCAAAAACATACACGGGTATATGGTGCTGCAGTACAAACGTATTGAGGTTTAGTTCGTAGCCATCTTGGAGTCTTTATAATCTTGTAGTGAGTAATCATATATATTCCGGACTTTCTCCGTCAGTCATTCTTCAAATACGTTTTTGTTGTTCTGATTGTAGAGGGTAGAAAAGGTCTTATCGAGGTTTGTTTGGGTCACTGAGCGAAGCCTCCGGAAAAATGGTTTGGCAATATATTGCCTTTAAAGAAACAAATGATGCCTCTGTGCCAAATGTTTAATATATAATGCATTTTGTTAATGGAGCCTGAGTCCATTTTCTCTTTATTTAGGATTCTTAAACGCATTTTTGACATTTAATTCATAAGAACATTCAGACAGAATTGGAAAGTTCATTGCTTTTTGTAAGGGTGTACTTGCTGAATTATGCTATTACATTATCATATCAGTGGCATGAAATTATCTCAAAATGACAGTATTGTTTATTGCAACTATTTCTGGGACACAGTATATCGTCCAACAGAAGGAGTTATTGTGACATGCCTTCTACAGCTCATATAAGGTCTACACCCAGACCTTTCAGCACCTTTTCTGTGTGTGTTTCCACATTCTTCCTTCCTTCAGGCAGAGACTGCAATGGATGCAAATTTATTTATTTATTTATTTTTAACAATGAAAAGTCAACTTGCAGTACTAAGCAGATTTTTCTTCAAGGCAGAGCTGCTTAAAGATTCCCCCATATGTTAGTGAGCATGCTGTGTGTTTCTGAAAGAGCAGGCTTCACATCTTGCAGGTTATGTGGTGGTAAGAACACGTAATTGTAAGAGTTGAGTTGTGTCATTGGACAGAGCTGTGTGCACTTGTGCGATCAGCCTGTATGGGACCTTTCTACTGTATCCCTGCATCTCTGTTCTTGCGGCTGGATTTTTGTTTATTCAGTGGCAGTTTTTTTGCGACGCATTGCATGCTTTTAAACTTGAGTTCCGCGAAGGTGTCCCGATAGTTCACGTTGCATACCATGAGTAATATGTTGCATTCATTTCCATGTTTTGGGACATCATGGAATTTCTGGGAACTAGTTGTATATTTGCTTTCACATGCTGATGTTGCATTTCTAATTTGTGGTTTATAAGCCCTTCCTTTATGTATACTTCGATACAGGAACACTTTCATACACAATGAATATACAGTTAACAGATCCTTCAAAAAAATTCAACCAAATGAATAAAAACAATGGGTCAGGTGCCATTTCAAAGACGACGCAACTGAAATTAAACAATAGATGCTTGCAGCACATAGGTAGTGAGAGGGAAAATACGAGACATTTGATTTAGGCAAGCATTTAAGAAATGACATGAAAATGAGCTGTGCTGTATTTGCGACTTGATTGCGTGATACTATTTAATTATCAATACAATGGGAAAAAAAAAATCAATCTTCCAAATGGGTGTGATGCCTCTGAGTATTATGGTTATTGGCTGGCTGGCTGTAGGACTCCGCTTTGCCCTGGTCTCATTTATAAAGTGTGTCTCTGGCAGAGGAATAGAAACTGGATTATTGTAGAGAACTAAGGAAGCGTTTTGCCATGGTGTGTGTGTGTGTGTGGCTTTCAGCTAATGTCACTTTTGGTGGGGTTGCCCCTCTAACTCCACTTCAGAATGAAAGCAGCCTGGGGGCTTGCTCTGATGTTTCCTTGGTGGTGGGGGGGTGCAAAAAGGTTGAACTCCTACAATAAAAGGTCGTTTCAACACGGCTGTCTGTCATCCTGCAGGAAATGTTGCTTGTTTGCCAGAAGTGTTTCTGCCCATCAGTGCTTCTGAACTGATGGAGATTCTCATGGCATCTCTGACAGTCTTGCTGAAATTCAGTGTTTTGGGACAATGTTACATTTAAGCATGAAAAATATAAGATGGGCTGATAATTATTGTACAAAAGGGTCTGTGGCTACAGCATTGCTCAGTTCGGTCTGTATTGCCTCTTGTCTGTGATAGCATCAAATTTGCTTTTGCTGAGTACCGAGGCTGATTTTGGGAGCCTAAATGAAATACTGGAATATTGTGGTTTCATCCCTTAAAACGTTCGCTTTGTAAAGGCACGTGCAGCTTTGTGTTTTCAAGGTCGCCTCGTCCAGCTGTATCCTGAATCACATCCTGTCTCTGGTCCCAGGTCAATAAAAACAAGAAGTGGCGAGAGCTGGCCACCAACCTGAGTGTGGGTACGTCCAGCAGCGCCGCCAGCTCGCTGAAGAAGCAGTACATCCAGTGTCTGTATGCCTTCGAGTGCAAGGTGGAGCGTGGCGAGGACCCGCCCCCGGACATCTTTACCACTGACACCAAGAAGAACCAGGCTAAGATCCAGCCCCCTTCCCCAGGTTGGTGCTGTGGTCACCTTGCCTCTCTGGGAGTTGGAAACTCATTTGCCATATGTGCTCTGTGTCTGTCTTCAGTCGCAGCTTGATTGAGGCCTGAAGGAAGCATTTCTGTTTGCTAGACCAGGTTATTCTGCATTAAACGTGCAGCAGTAGCACACAGGATAGGTGACAGGGGCTGCGCATTCCCGCAGGCTCCCACTGTGTGAATTTGTTCCCATGTGCCGTTAAATCCTTGTGATGGCATGCCTCTGGCTTTTCCCCGTCAGTCCTGGCCACAGCAGGTTCTGCACTGCTGTTCCTGATGGGGAGGGGGTGCTGGTGGGGTGCTGGCCATGTGCTGTGGGGATGGGAGGGGCTGCGTGGTTGGGATTGTAACGGGATTCCTCTGGTTATGTAAGTGTCGTTTGTAAGAGGGAGTCCCTGCCAGAAGCCATGTCGAGGCATGGGGGGGTGGGGGTTGGGGGGCTTTCCTAAGGGGCCCCCCCAGAGAATTGTGTAGAGCCAGAGAATGATGAATGGGTGTTTGTGTGTGTGTCACTCCCTCTCAACATCCCAACCCCCCCCCCGCCCCCCCCTTCCTCAGAGGGAGATCCCTGCCTGGGGAGAGCGGGGGTGGGGGGGCATTGATGTGCACCCGGCGCTAGTATGTAAATAAATGTGCCCTGCCAACGACCCTGCCAGTTAATGAATAGGAGGCATGAGTCATCAGACATTGCCCGCTAATAGTGAAGTCACGCTTGGTGGTGAGGGCAGGTGGGGACACGTGCACGTACACACACACGGACGCGTTCACACACATACACACACACACATGCAGTGCAGAGAGCCCTCAGGGTGCTGCAGCTGAATCATAACCTCATTCTCCATGTGGAAGCAGAGTACAGTTGGACGGTAAATGAAGCTAGCTCTGCTTGATATCTGGGCTTTCAGTGAACTCCGTACATCTCCACGTTGTACGGCTCGGTTGTGGCCGTGCTGAGGGCAGGCAGATGGCTGCATGTCCTGCAGAGACTCTCCAATGAGTGTGATGCCATGTGTCTTGCAGCGGGATCCGGCTCCCTGCAGGGCCCCCAGACCCCCCAGTCCACCAGCAGCTCTATGGCAGAGGGAGGAGACCTCAAGCCCCCAACTCCAGCCTCCACCCCGCTCAACCAGATGCCCCCCATGCCCGGAGTCAGGCACGTTCAACCCCCAGCCCCCCTCCTGGCCTTGCCCTCCAATACCCACTATCCTTCTGATGCCCTCAACTTTCTTCCCTCTGCAGGAGCAATGTGGTAAGCTTGCAGGATCCCTTCGCCGATGGCAATGACCCTGCCTTCCCTAGGCGGGCACCCATGACGCCTAACCCAGGGTACCAGCCTGGCATGAATACTTCGGACATGATGGGCCGCATGGGCCCATATGAGCCCAACAAGGACCCGTTTGGTGCCATGCGGAAAGGTGAGAGCCAACCGAAATCCCTGATCAAAGTGTGTTGGATCAGAACGTCTGGCTGACATTCCAAATAGCCACCTTGACTTCTTACCCTTTTTTGCACCATGACCCAATTTTTACCATGGCAGGTCTAAATTAACACTATGATCAAGCACGCAGTGTGCTCTGGAATTTATGCCGATCAATGCCTATTGCAGAAATCTGATTGGATGTGGCAGTGATTTTAAATTAAACACTTGTGGTTTGGCTTCCTGGAGTGGTTGAGTGTTCACTAGTTTTGCGCTAAGGATTTGCAGACCCAAGACCCATTTATATAGGTTAATTGTAGGATTGGGGCTGGGAAATCTGATCGTGGATCAGTATAGGAGCTTGCTGGTTCTAAAATGCTTATTTCCAACTCTGCATCGCGACCCTTTCAGAACTTCAGAATTTGGGTTGTGACCCAGGGTTTGAGAATCGCTGGCTTAAGCTGTCTAGTAAGTTGTGAACAATGAAGATGCACATGGGCTGGATAGCTGTCTGTTCTGTATGTCGGTCACCTGTTCAGTATTGCACGCATTCTAATGTCATGTTGTCGGCATGTTTGTCCCGACAGTGGGAGAGCAGTTTATGCCCCCGGGACAGGGCCCCACGGGAGGCATGGGGGAGCAGTACAGCCGGGGACCGCCCCCAGGGTCCATGGGCAACATGCCGATGGGGCAGAGGCAGCAGTACCCCTACGGCCCCGGATATGACAGGAGGTAGGAAATGGCAGACCTGAATGAAGAAGAGACAAGCCTTGAAAGACCTTGTGAAGACCTGTACCAAGTGTGGAATTGAGTACTTTTGCTACGTCAAGCTACTTAATATTTTGGGATGCTGGAAACTGAAATTCTCAGGTGGAAATTCAGTGCTGTATCGGGATGTGATTGGAGAAGAATGCTTCTCAGTGGTCATATCCTCGTCCCACAGACAGGAGCCTGGCATGGGCCCCGATGGTGCCATGGGGCCCACGGCACCGCAGCCCAGCTTGATGCCCCCCAACGCCGATGCTGGGATGTACTCTCCCAACCGGTACCCCCCACAGCAGCAGCGGTCAGTAATCCCACCACTGCATTTATATTTACAGCATTTAGCAGACGCTCTTTTCCAGAGCGACTTCGATCTATAAGCTAGACCTAAAATTGTCAAGATCAAATTACCGCTAAGAACATTGTATAAAGAACCTTGTTAAAAAAAGAGTGCAAAGGCAAAGATTGTTAGTGAATTTTAATTTTTTTTTTAATGGAGAGAGCGGACAGTAAGGGTGGTATTAGTCTCCAGGGTACTCCTTGAAGAGGTGTGACTTCAGACGACACTTGAAGACAGGAAGGGACTCGGCCATTCTTATGGCAAGAGGAAGTTCGTTCCACCACTGAGGAGCCAACATTGCAAAAAGTCTTGATGCATGTCGTCCTCTTAAGTGTTGGTGGTTCGAGACAAGCAGCGCTTGATGCCCTTGAGAGGACGGGAAGTGACACGATTCTTGATCAGTGTTGCCAAATAAGGAAGGGCTGTTCCAGTCTTGGCCTTAACGGCAAGTGTTAGGGATTTGAACCTGATGCAGGCAGCCACAGGCAGCCAGTGCAGGTTCCGAAGAAGAGGTATTATGTGCGAGAATCTAGGAACATTAAAGATGAGTCTTGCAGCTGAATTCTGGATCAGCTAAAGTGACCTTGTTGCCTTGGACGAGTAGCTGAATAGCGTCTGTCGTGAGAAAGGGATAAATTCTTCTAATGTTGCAAAGAAGGAATCTGCAGGACCTGGACAGGTTGTTAATGTGTGGCGAGAATGACAATCCATCATCAAGAATGACACCGAGACTTCTTATTGTTTTTGAGGGGACAATAAGAGAGTTTCCAAAGGAAACAGTAAGGTCAAGAACCGGTGATGAATTGGCTTTGATGTACAGCAGCTCAGTCTTACTGCGGTTTAGCTTGAGGTGGTGGGATGTCATCCAAAAGGAGATATCAGTCAGGCAGTCAGAGTCGAGTTGAGACCTGATGGTCATCGGGTGGAAAGGAAAGAAAGAGTTGGGTGTCACCTGCATAACAGTGGTAGGAGAGCCCATGTGCAGATATGACCTTCCCAAGAGAACCTGTGAATAAGGAGAAGAGAAGGGGTCCTAGGACTGAGCCCTGAGGAACACCAGTGGCCAGCCTTCTTGGGGCTGATTGGGAGCCTTGCCATGCCACTTGAAATGACCGGTTATCAAGGTAAGATGCAAACCATTGCCTGACTGTACCTGAGATCCCAAGGCTGGAGAGAGTATCCAGGAGGATCTTGTGGTTGATCCCGTGAAAGGCTGCAAACAGGTTCAAGAGAATCAGAACCGAGGATAGGTTGGAGGATTTGGCTGCATGAAGTTTTTCAGAGACGGCAAGAAGTGCAGTCTCTGGAATGCGCAGCTTTGAATCCAGACTGGTGAGGGTCGTGAAGTGCATTTTCAGAGAGAAAGGCATTAAGTTGGTTGTAAACTGCTCGATCCAGTACTTTTGAAAGAAAGATGAGCAGGGACACTGGTCTGTAGTGGTTAACATCTGAGCAGTCCAAAGAAGGTATCTTTAGAATGGGGTGACAACAGCTGACTTGAAAGCCAGTCATTAAGGAGCTATTGACTATGTGTGTGATGTGTAGGAGAAGGTCCTGAGAAATAAGCTGCAACATACCAGAAGGGATCGGGTCGAGTGAACACACACACACACACACGCGCACGCATACACGCACGCTGACACACACACACACGCATACACACATGCTGACATGTGCTGGTGTATTTCTGCAGGCATGATTCCTATGGTAATCAGTACCCTGGCCAAGGTGCTCCCCCTGCTGGTCCGTATCCCAATCAGCAGCCTGGAATGTACCCACAGCAGCAGGCAGTAAGTACCCCACAATCCCTTGTGGTTTCTCACTATGTCCATATGACAATGCTCTTAAATTACAGTTCCAGCAGAGGAGTATTAATATTTTGTTAAATGCCTCTTGGGATATTTCCATCTCCGGCAACAGCCTACTGCTAGTTTCTGTATGTGACTTTCAGCAGCACTAATTGTCAGGTTAGGTTAAGTTAAAGAGAGTGGTCTGCTCATTGTCATGGCCGCAGATAATGGCTAGTAATGTTGACCTGCATTCCCCACCATTGCAGAACTACAAGAGGCCTGTGGATGGCGCCTATGGCCCCCCAGCAAAGCGCCATGAGGGTGACATGTACAATGTTCCCTTCAGTGGCCAGCAGCAGCAGGCTCCACCCTCATCTGGCCCCACCCCCCAACAGGACATGTACAGCCAGTACGGCAGCACCTACCCTGGCGCGGAGCGGCGCCCGCCTGGGCCCCAGGGCCAGTTCCCCTTCCCCTTTGGGCGGGATCGGGGTCCAGCGCCGGCTGGGCCAAACCCCCAGGCTCCCATGCCCCCTCAGATGATGGGCAGCCCCATGGCCTCTGGCCCAGACGGCCCCCAAGGCGGCATGTGGCAGGGCCGCGGGGAGATGGGCTACCCCGCCTTCCCCAACCGGCAAGGCGTGGCTCCCGGAGCAGCCGCCCAGGGCCCTGGCTATCATGGCATGAACCGCTCTGAGGACGTGATGCCATCCGAGCAGCGCATGAATCACGAGGGCCAGTGGCCCGGCCACGTGGGTGCACGCCACCCGCCCTACGGGCCCTCAGGGGTGGGCCCACCCATGACGCGGCCCCTGCAGCCCAACTATCAGCCGGCACAGTCCATGCAGAACCACATCCCTGCAGCGTCCAGCCCGGCGCCGGGGCCCCGCCCCCTAGAGAGTCGCACCTCGCCCAGCAAGTCGCCCTACATGCACGCCGGCATCAAGATGCAGAAAGCCGGCCCCCCTGTGCCAGCCTCGCACGTGCCCCAACCCCCCATGCAGCCCCCGCTCATCCGGCGCGACGTCAGCTTCCCTCCAGGCTCTGTGGAGGCCACGGTGCCCGTGATGAAGCCCCGCCGGAGGCTAACCATGAAGGACATCGGTATGGCATCTCCGGGTGGCCGAGAATACGTAGCTTTTAGCAGCAGAGTCACTGTTTCACTTTGATCGGGAGGGGCTGAGAGAGAGAGAGAGCACCTCTTTATCCAGGGACTTAGAGACAAGTCTCTCTTACAGCATCAGTGTAATAAGTGAAACTTCATATGTTTGTCTGTCTGAATGTCCTAAAACACGCAACTGGGTGAAGTGGCCACAGTACGTGCTTCAGTGTGTGTGCAGGCTGGCATCTCGTCCCATGTCTGTGTGCCCTGTGCTTCCTGGCACAGGCCCCCGGTTCACTGCTACCATGTAGGGAATAAGTGGTTATGGAAGATGGATAGATGGATGTCAGTTTAACTAATTGGGCACTTATACTGTAATTGAGATTTACCCTAATTTTACAGGAATAAAGATGTTAAAACTGACATAAAACGAGTAATTTTAATCCTTATTTCTCTCTTCCCCTGTCTTTCCTCGACAGGAACTCCCGAGGCCTGGCGGGTGATGATGTCTCTGAAGTCGGGCTTGTTAGCGGAGAGCACTTGGGCCTTGGACACCATTAACATTCTGCTCTATGATGACAGCAGCATCTCAACCTTCAGCCTCTGCCAGGTGAGTCTCACCCGCCTCCAGGCAGGTGCACCTTGGCAAAGGGCTACAGTGTCTGCAAGTTTCATTAGACCAAAAGAAGCCTCCCCTTTGAACAACTAAGACTGCTAACATGCTTTCTGTTAGTAAGTTTGCCTGTAAAACTTGATTCCTGCCAGTTTAGTACGTATCCACTTCATATTAACAAAAGTGATGATTTAATTAGAACTTTGAGCAACTAATTTTAATAATTAAAGCTGTTTTTAAGTGTTTCTGTAAAATGATAATCATGACTAATAACATTAGAGTGGCTTTATCTAGCGATTTTTTGAAGTAGCTATATGGAAGCTTGATTGAAACCAAGAATGATATTAACGCCTTGCTGAGACTGTACAAATTTACAGTGAATCTCTTTCCCATAAGAGGTGTAATCAGTTTGACACAGCGAATACAGGAGCTCAGTGTTCCCCTTCCTGCTTCTGTGTGTATCACCGTCTCAGCCTGCGTGGATAATTAATTCTCTTTTAAAACCCCTTTCAGCTGCCTGGATTCTTGGAACTGGTGGTGGAATATTTCCGACGTTGCCTCATAGAGATCTTCGGCATCCTGAAGGAGTATGAGGTAGGCGATCTGGGTCAGAGGACTCTGCTGGACCCCAACGCCCTGGACCACGACCGGGATGGCTCAGACGCGGAGGAGCCCGAGGTGGAGGACCCTGAAGAGGATGAGGATGACGAAGAGGAGGAGGAAGAAGAGCAGCAGCCCGCAACAGCGCCTTTGGCACCGGTGAAGGAGGAGGGCGAACGGGCGGAGGGGGACAAGATGGAGCTGGAGGCACAGGAGGGCCAGAGCTTCTCGCCTTGCCAGGAGCCCACGCCACCGCCGGACAAACCAAAGCAGGCAAGCAAGTTTGATAAGCTGCCCATCAAGGTGGTGCGCAGGAAAGACCCCTTCGTGCTCGGCTGCTCCGGTAAGCTGCGCCGGCCACAGGCCTTTGACAGCGGCCTGCTGCACTGGAGCATCGGAGGCGGCGACACCACCGAGCACATCCAGACCCACTTTGAGGGCAGAACGAACCGGCTTCCATCCCAGAAGTGGGCGGCAGCCCCGCAGGAAGCTGCTGAGAAGGAGAGGGCCCCTTCGCCAGCTGCAGAGCCGCAGGGGCTTCCTGCGGTGGAAGCTGGAGATGTACCGCCTCTCCAGCCAGGCCCGGAGGCGGACGACGCGCCGGGGGCGGCAGAAAGCCGCCAGGAAGATGGCAAGCTGCTCCAAGGTGCTGAGCCACCTCGGCCGGACCGCCGTGGGGTTGGGGTCTTGGAGGACGAGCCACACAGCAAGGACGAGACGCCACTCAGCACGCTGGCAGACTGGCAGGACTCGCTGGCCCGCCGCTGCATCTGCGTCTCCAATATCGTGCGCAGTCTGTCCTTCGTGCCCGGCAACGACCTGGAGATGTCCCGGCACCCAGGGCTGCTGCTTATGCTGGGCCGCCTGCTGCTACTGCACCACCGGCACCCCGAGCGCAGGCAGGCGCCACTCACCTACGAGAAGGACGAGGACGGCGAGGACAGGGCCCAAGGCAAGCTGGACCAGTGGTGGTGGGACTGCCTGGAGCTGCTGCGTGAGAACTGCCTGGTCACACTGGCCAACATCTCTGGCCAGTTGGATCTCTCCATCTACCCGGAGAGCATCTGCTTACCCCTGCTGGACGGCCTGCTCCACTGGGCCGTGTGCCCGTCGGCTGAAGCCCAGGACCCTTTCCCTTCTCTGGGCATGAACGGCTCGCTCTCCCCCCAGAGACTGGTCCTCGAGACCCTCAGCAAGCTCAGCATCCAGGACAACAACGTCGACCTCATTCTGGCCACGCCACCCTTCAGTCGGCTAGAGAAGCTCTACGGCTCACTGGTGCGGCTGGTGGGCGAGCGCAAGGTGCCTGTGTGCCGTGAGATGGCCGTGGTGCTGCTGGCCAACCTAGCCCAGGGCGACAGCTTGGCGGCGCGCGCCATCGCCGTGCAGAAGGGCAGCGTGGGAAACCTGCTGGGCTTCCTGGAGGACAGCCTGGCGGCGGCACAGTTCCAACAGAGCCAGAGTGCCCTGATGCACATGCAGGGCGCCCCCTTCGAGCCCAGCAGTGCGGACATGATGCGGCGGGCGGCGCGAGCGCTGCACGCCATGGCGCGAGTCGAGGAGAACCACTCGGAGTTCACGCTGTACGAGTCGCGGCTGCTGGACCTCTCGGTGTCCCCACTCATGAACTCGCTGGTGTCTCATGTGATCTGTGACGTACTCTATCTGATTGGCCAATCATGACAGTCGTGGGGTGCGGTGGCCCTGCCTCCCCCAGCCTCTGTCCCTGTACCCATTTTTTTTCTCTCTTGTGTGTCTGAGCGTGAGTGGAGCAAACGTCGAGTGAAACTGTTTTTGTTTTATTTTTATTTATGCAAAAACACCTCGGATTCCACTGTCTGAAGTCCACCTTTGCCCCGTCTCCGCCCCCCCCCCCCCCCAACACTTATCAAAGGAAGGACGTCACGAACCTGGAATGGACGTTGTTTCAGCTGTTCAGCGAATGGCGCCGTGAAATTTAATGCCGCAGAAATGGATGGGAACCCCTGGCCAGGAGTGTGCTGCCCTTTTTTTTTTTTTTTTTTTTTTTAAAGAAAGAAAAAGATGGAGAAAAAAATTTACAAAAACAAGACTGTAACCAAAGTTGCTGTATCGTTTACAGTGAGTTTGGGGATAACTGTGCCCTAGCTCTCCCCAGGGGGGAGCACGACCAGTACAATTTTATGGTTCATATTTGGAGGCTTAAAACAGACTTTTGGACTTTCTTGTGGTATAATTGCTGTAACTTGGACTCTATATTCTGCCCTACATGAACCAGGTTATCGGCTGTGAACAGACGTCTGTGCAGTAGATTGTAGGACTTTTTTCTGTACTGTACACGTTAAAAAACAACTGTAAACATACTGTAATAATACTGTTTCACACTGAGAAACGCTGGCTTGGCCGCAGAACTGTAGTTTTTAAGAAATGTTTTTAGTTAACATTGAAGAGAAAAAAGGCTTTCCCCCCAAAGTTTCGTGAACCTACAACACCCTGACCTCTTCTCTTTAACCCTTGATTGTATGGATTGACCCTTAAAAAGAATCACCTCTTAGGACTCGTTTTCAACTTAAGACGCAGCCTTGGCTGCTGTGTATATATGACGTTGTACAATAATTACACTTTCTCCTCTCTCTCCCTCTCTCACCTTCTGATGCTCTTCATCCTTTTTATCTAAGAAGAATAAAAGATTAAACACAAGTTGAACTCCTTGCATCAAATCCCACAGTGTGCTAATTTAAACCTTAATGCTCTCACACCGCCCTTTTACATAGGGATATGCACAGCTTGAACATAACCATACTCGGAAAATAAAAATAAAAAGCTGCTGTCTTCTCCTGTGACCACAGCAGATAACTTTTCCAGTTGAGATGTGGAGATCAGAGGGGAAAAAAAAAAAAAAAAAAAACATACCAGGTTGCTTCACTTTGTACAACCTAACAAAAACCTCATGGAGAAACAAATTTTAGATTTTTTTCCTTCAGTGAGATGGATCCTGCATATTTGTATTTCAGACAATGTAGCTAAAAACTCGATGTAAATTCCTCCTTTTCCTTTTTTGGCTTAATGAATCATTTATTCAGTATGAAATCTTTATACTATATGTTCCACGTGTTAAGAATAAATGTACATTAAATCTTCGTAAGACGTTTGTTATTGTTCTTTCGTTGTGGTGGCCCGGCAGTGCTATCCTCGTCGGTAGGGACCGGGAATTGTCATGCTGTGTGAAAAGGTCAGCCTGTTAAAGCTGCTCCAGAGCTGAATCTCACACGGACTTGCTGTAGTTGATTAATCTAAGCCGAAAAGTGGCATTTTCATTGAGCTGTGCGATTAGCCTGCGGGGCAGACACCGCCGCTCGCATTGGTAAATGAATGGACGAATGAGGCCGATATTACGGACCTGCGTCGGGTGAGGAAGCAGGTTTTTGTAATTCCTGAAAGAGATGTCAGCTTCGCTCTCCAGTATCATCTCCTTGGATATTTATTTTCATATCTTTTTTATTTTTTTTTTCTTCAGTCAGCGTAACACTCCAGCACGTCTCCATCTCTGCTTTCCTGGCAGGTGATGAATGGTGAAGCGGGCCCATGATTGCCTCCGCCGGCGTGTCTGTGTCCGCCACCTGCTTCACACGCAGCTGACCCTGGGAGCTTATCGGCCCTTTCTCTAGGCCCTTAGGCGTCTTTGAAGCAGCCGATAAATCAAGTCCAAGGCCAGTCTCCCCCTCTCTCATAGGAATGACAGTATTTTTTTTTTTTATTTAAAGACATTTATAGGGTCTGATAAGTCAGTGATATATTGGTACTAGGCAGTTGGCGCGATGTCCAAAATTGTATACAATTTTTATATTCTCTAAGGATTTTCAGCATAAATATAAGTATAGTTACGTATCGGGGTAACGCCATGGAGAATTCTGACATTTTGTTAAAAATTCAATTTTTACAAAGGAAAATTACATTTAAAACATAGCCTATATGTTTGTGCCCCCCCTCCTCAAAAGATTTTGCCACGGATACAGACGAATCATGTCTCGGGTGACGATCCCAGTAAACGTATTCATTTTAATCTTCTCAATATTAAGTACAGGACCACATTAGGATACCCTTGTACAGTGCGCACAGTTACAAACATACATTTTATATACGGCTTACGGCATCATCTGTTTTATCAGATCTCACCCATCTGCAGTAAGTGATTCAATTAAGATTCCTATATTTATACTAATTAAACGCACGAAGTTGTGTGTAATTACAAAATGTTATTTTTTAAGAAAAACGTTTGATCACTGCTGTTAAGCTGTTTCCACTGCTGTGGATGAGTAAAAAAAAAAAAAAAAAAAAAACGTTTTCTAAAACGTTCATAATCTAACGTATAGAATATGTTCTTTATGAAATTAAGACTAACCGCAGCATAGAAATTCAGTATTAAGTTAAGAGCGCCGCCAGATGGTGGAGCTCCGTCATAACAATATGCTGATATACTGCGATTACTTCCCGAAGACTCATTGGTCTGCTGATGTAGCGCGAGCGCACTTCCTGCTGCGCGCAAGCACGTTTATATTACGTACATTCATAGGCAACCACGTGCGCGTAAGAGGCATGCGCATATCTTTCAGGAAGTGAAAAGACGCTTTTCCAGCTTGACAAGAAGCGATATTGCGTTGAAAATTTTAACGTGACTATATTTTGTAAATTTCTTACTGTTGATGGATATTTACGCCACTTTTATTAAAATACGAAGCGTTTTCCACAAACACTAATTCCTTAAGTCTCGCACTATTTGGAAACGGATTAGCAATGCAATTTTTTATTAGTTGCCTCCTTTACAAAGGATCTCATGATATTGAATTGTGTTTGAACGACAACGCAGCTTCTGTTACCGCTTGTTGAGCTACGGTGGTTGGGATGAGAGCATACTGCTCTGTACTCGTGTATCCGTTGGACAAAATAAGTAAACCGAAATGGGAATTAAGATTGCGGTTCGGTTTGCAGCCTTCACAAGAGTCCTTACTCTGCTTTTACAGGTAGAATCTGCTGTTGCTTTCGGCGAATGTTAGGTCCTTTACTATAATGTTAGTCCTTTACTAGAATAACAATTTCCTGTAATGGGTAAAAGAGCACATGAGCTTTTATTTGTGTGTGTGTGTGTGTGTGTATCGACACTTTGCCTGCATACCTGCTAAACTTAAACGGAAAGACAACAAATAACACCGAGACATTTCAGAAGGTCCTCAAAAGATTTTTTTTTCCTGTGCCCTAGCTTTTTTTCCCCTCAAAATTTATGTCTGCATTTAGACTAAAGTGTGATGGAGTCTTTATGCTTTTTTCTCTTTTAGGCAGTTTTTAATGCTGTGATCCCTGATCATACTGCGGATGCCTTTAGTCCTCCTCGACTAGAAGACCCATTGCTCCTGGACAGTCTGGTGGAGATGCTCTTTGGGGGCTTGTCCCGGTGGGACGCTGAGCACTTCCTCTTCATCGCAGAACGTGGCTACCTGTATGAGCACAATTTTGCCTTCTTCCCCCTGTTTCCTGTCACCCTGAGGACGTTGGCCGGCATCCTCCTCTGGCCCCTGGCTGGCATACTGACGGCACGTGGACGGCTCCTCCTGGCTGTAGTGCTGGCTAACTTTGTGTTCTCTGTCATTGCTGCTGTGGCCCTATATAGACTGGGCTGCCTGGTGCTAGGAGAGCGACGCCTGGCCTTGCTCTCCAGCCTTCTCTTCTGTCTCTCCCCTGCCAATGTCTTCCTGGCTGCTGGCTACTCTGAAAGTCTGTTTGCTGTGCTCACCTTCAGTGGTCTATGGATGCTGGAGGGTGGGTGTCCTTTCACTGCCAGCGTGCTCCTTGGCCTGGCTACTGCTACTCGGGCCAACGGCCTGGTCAATGTTGGGTTTCTGCTGTATCTGCCACTGCGGTGGGGGCTTGTCCAGGCCATTGCTGTCAGCAAGGGGGCAGGGGGGCTGAGCGGGAGTCACCACTATATCTTGATTTCCCTACGTTTCCTGTTCACTGCTACCTTGGGCTCTGCCATCATCGTGATTCCCTTTGCTGCCTTCCAGTATTATGGATACCAGACCTTCTGCACACCCTCTCTCCTCCCAGACACCATATCTTCTGCCCTTCTTGACTTGGCTCGGGTTAAAGGTTACAGGATTCCAGACGCAAAGGGACTCTTTCCCAGCTGGTGTACGTCACGCCCACCGTTGCTCTACTCCTACATTCAGGATGTGTACTGGGATGTGGGATTCCTGCGCTATTTCCAGCTGAAGCAAATACCCAACTTTCTACTGGCGCTACCTATGGCCACACTAGGTGTGGCTGCAATTAAGAGCTATATTTCAGCCAACTGGGACCTGTGCTTGAGGCTGGGACTCTGGGGTGGTCAGCTAAAACCGCAGACAGACATCCCATCTGGGTACCACAACCCAAAGGTTTTTGTGTACATGGTGCACCTCACTGTCCTCTTGGGCTTTGGCGTGTTTTGCATGCATGTACAGGTAAGGATCCTTAAAAAGATGTTTTTCATTCTCAAAGTTAGTAATAATCTAGTCCTTTCCCTGGCTTTTTCACTCACTTTAATCTGGGGAAAAAAAACTTGCATTATGATTTAGCTCATAATGTAGGAGTAGATTTGATTTAGGTTTATATGCTGCCATGGTTTTATGCACAACGTGTGGGATGTATCGAAAATAAGACAGTTTGGCAATATTGGATAACATGAAATAAAACATATTACTCCATAATGGTGTTTGTAATTATACAAACATAAGTACACATGAGTTTCTTGATCGTGAGTTTTGGATCTGAGTCTTGTTCTGTGTATTGGTCCTGTTCTTAGTGTGGTTGGTTTACTTAATTCCAGCTGATAAGGATTGGAGAAATGAATAAAGTTAGGACACATTCAATGGCTTGCTTGAATAGTTAACTGCCTTTAAGTTGTTGTCCCATTTCTACCTCTTCTCCAGGTTCTGACCCGATTTCTTGCCTCTTCATCTCCTGTGATCTATTGGTTCAGCGCACATCTTCTGCTTTGTTATGAGCCCTTGTTGAAGGAAGATGGACCCTCTCCTGATGGTGGGAGGCAGGATCGTATGGACCGCCACCCACGCCTCCTGAGAGCAGACTCTGGAGTTCTGCCCCACAATCCTTTGACTTGGCTGCTGTTTCATGGGAGGACTTGCTCACCTATAACCCGCTGGGTGCTTGGCTACTTCATCTCCTATTGGCTGATAGGATTGGCGTTGCACTGTAACTTTTTACCATGGACATGATGCTGGATGTGAAGGTGACTGTTGAACAGCAAGCATGTGAAATGTCCAATTTTTTCAGAGCGGTCAAGAAATGCATCCCAGCACAGTGTCACAGAGACATTGGTAGCTCTATGGAATTATGGAAATAATGAAATAGCTTTCTGCCCATTAGAACAATATGGAGTGTTGGTGTGAAAATCCTGTAGTTAGGGAATAACTGAAGGCAGCATCTCTGTTTTAGAAAAGAATAACTGTAAAGAACTTTCTTTCAGCGCTTGACTCTGACTGCTAGCTTACAAATCAGGAGTTTTGCAGCCTTGCCTTTTGGAAAATTGTTTATGGTGTCATTTAGCATCCTGGGTGTAGGAGAGTGGGAAAGGAGGCATGACAGTTTTCAGGGAACTGCTACAGTCAGCATCCAGTGGTGTAAATGGGTAAGATGCAATGTGAACTGAATACAGATGAGTATAGCAGAGTCTCTACCTTCCCATTTGCCGTTACTGGTCTGTTCATTCTGATTATGTGCGATGTTTCCAGCTCAGCTGAGAGAAGTATTTTGTTCTCATGAGGTTTTTTATGATACATCGTCTGGAATAAATGCGTTTTTTTAAATGAATTTATTTTTTATATTGAATAAGACGTTTTTGCAGTACAGAGCATGAATGCATTTTTGATTACCCCTGAAGTACATTGTTGGGTTCTACTGACATCTAGTGGTTGTTTTAATTGTTACAACTAAAAGTAGTACTCAATTGATCTGCTTAATAACAAACCTAAGTTGGGAAGATCTTATAAAAAAACGGATGATTACAAATGAGCATTTTTGGCTGTCATCTCTGCAGCAAGTGTCTTTGAAATTATGTTTTATATATGTACAGGCATTTTGCAGTT